TTAAAATTTTAAATACCCAAAAGACTGAAATTCTCCTCCTCACGCACCCCCATCTGATCCAGTGGTACCAGTGGTACCTCTGTTGACATGGTATGCATTCTTTTAGACAGTAGTTATGTGTGCATGTACTTAAGATGTTATGAACTTTCTAATATAAACATGAACTTATTACACAGATCATTCTGCACCTTATTTTTTTGTACTAAGTTGTTTTAGATCTCTATGTCAGTACATTCAGAGATATTTTCTTCTCTTTAATGATAAAAGAGAATTTTCAAGCAACTTCAGGTGATTTTACCTGTTCAGAATCTACACTGTAAAATGGATTTTTAAAGATATTTTTAATCTGCCTGGTCTGGTATTTTGTTGCTGCTCTAGAATGAAGGGGAAATCAATGTTGCAAGAAAAATGGCACATGAGGTCCAGATCTTGTCTGGCTTTCCAAATTAATCATTTGATCTCCCAAACAGATGGCACTCAGATGAAAAGGGAACATGCCAGCATGCGACATCCCTGTTTGGTTCCTAGTGAGAAGGCCCAGCAGGCTGCCCAGAGCTCCAGCACCTGCTCCCCAGTRCAGCCTCCCCTGGAGCCACAAGACAGGGGCACGGTGCTCAACACTGGTCTGCGGCTAGTCCTCCAGCACGTGCAGGCGCTGCTGATCAAGCGGTTCCACCATGCCACTGGCAGCCGAAAGGACTTCCTGGCCCAGGTATTCCCAAGGGCTTCTTCGGCTGTGCTCTTTCACTCTGCCCGGGACCCAACAGATCCATGGGTACAAACACAGCCCGCAGCACCCTCTTTACATCCTGCCTACTTCACTTTCTCCCTGCCAAACCTTTCTTTTGATTCAGAGCCATAAAAGCCTTCTTTATGAGAACTGAACCTCCCTCAWCAAAGAAAATAAAATAGCAGTGAATATGCTAATATTGCTCTTCTTTATTACAGAGAAAGGCAAAGTCATGTTTTCACTCCTTTYTACAGTGACACTATGTATGTGCAGGTCATTCTCCTTATTTTTTTTTTTTTCTGTTTTTCATTCAGAAAAAGAAATTCTGCTTCAAAGAATGGGAAGTCAAGTGATTTGCTCTTTGAGTTTACCTTTAGCCTCTGGTTGAGCATTGCCTATATTCAGATTCTTTGATGGCCACAAGAACATTCTGTTTTCTTTTGCATATCCTGTCTTTGTACACCCTGCCTGTTCCCCCAGAAKCCCATCTTCCATCAGGATCTGACCATGAGGCTGTGTTTATATCTCTCTACCACAGCGTGTGTCCATGTGCATTCTCCCACAGATGGTGCTCCCAGCCACTTTTGTGTTCTTGGCTCTGGTGCTTTCCATCATTGTGCCTCCTTTTGGTGAATACCCTGCCTTGACCCTCCACCCCTGGATATATGGGCAGCAGTACACCTTCTTCAGGTACACAAACTTGTTCCCAGAGGTCACCATTATCCTCCATAGTGTGGAGCTCCTAGGCTACATGCTGCCTGGAAGGGCTCTGACTTCCTCACTTCCCCGAGATCTCCACCAATACAGCAGGGGTCCGTGGGTTTCCCTCAAAAGAAAAGTTAATGTACTGCCATTGCCTAGAAAGAGAGAGTAAGAAAAGAGAATGCAAAGTGGGGAAAGTGAGCAGAGGAGCCATCTTTTTGAGGTGTAGATGGTCTTCTAGGTGTATTCATGCAGCCCATTCCATTCCCAGGAGACCTACAACTATCCCTAGGCAGCATTCAGAGCTTTATGAACATGCCTGGCATGTAGTAGCCATTMCCTAAATGCTTTGAATTGGATGTGGGCTGGTTTTGTCCACTCCGTCACAGTCACATGACCGCCAGGTAAGCCTCTCTCACTCTGTCTAGCATGGATGAGCCTGGCAGCAAGCACCTTGAGGTACTGGCAGACGTCCTCCTGAACAAGCCAGGTTTTGGCAACCGCTGCCTGAAGGAAGAGTGGCTTCTGTGAGTTCCTTTGCCCCCTTGTCCTGACACCATATCTCCCCTGGGAGCCTGGCAGTAGGGTCTGGGTTGGCAGGGATGGGAGAGACACCCTCAGTCCTGCTCCGTATTTTGTGGACCACTTCCCTGTTTCCGACCAGTGCTTACCTAGCCTCTCCTTTAGCACTTGTGTGCAAGGGCAGTCACTACCTCCCAGGTAGCTCCTGCAACATTGGAAAGCTCTGTATTTCTCAATATAAAAATTCCATATTGAGTTGATATATGAGTCCCCTTAATTTATTTTAAAGGCCTCTGAGCAGGGGCAGGAGGGAGATGGAGCATATGCTGTTGTATAACTGAACCCTAATTGGCATTAATGACTACTATKGCCATCTCTCAATTATTGTTTTAAGTATAGAGAAGGGAGTTGTAGGGGTGAGTTGAAACTCACCTGAAATCCTAAAGGTTTAAATGTAATTTTTTTTTGGGGGGGGTGGGAGGAGGGGACTGGGGATTGAACTTAGGGACACTCAACCACTGAGCCACATCCCCAGCTCCACTTTGTATTTTACTTAGAGACAAGGTCTCACTGAGTTACTTAGTGTCTCACCGTTGCTGAGGCTGGCTTTGAACTCGCAATCCTCCTGTCTCAGCCTCCCTAGCCTCTGGGATTACAGGCGTGTGCCACCGTGCCCAGCTGATTCAATGTAATTTTAATTTCTTCTCTTATTTAGTCTTTTTMAAAGCTTCAATAAGGAAAATTCCTCTTTAATTTGTTCCATCTCTCAATAGCTAGAGAAAATGCATGGCTCAGAGGAGTTGGAAAGGCTGAAAAGGAGAGGGTTGGGCACTATTTCTCCTTTCTGGGATTTTTAAATCAACCTTTGAAACTGATTGTGGAATATCTTCTTGCTTTCCATGAGGGAGTACCCGTGTGGCAATTCAACCCCCTGGAAGACTCCCTCAGTGTCCCCGAACATCACCCACCTGTTCCAGAAGCAAAAATGGACACCAGCCAACCCCTCACCCTCCTGCCAGTGCAGCACCAGAGAGAAGCTCACCATGCTACCTGAGTGCCCCGAGGGTGCCGGGGGGCTCCCACCCCCACAGGTACCCAGCACGGGAAGCCAGGGCCCCATCTGCCTGCAGTCCCAGGGATGGGGGTTGCTTATTACCTCCTGAGCTTCTATCCAAATAATATTTCAAACTGTTAAGTGAGCAAGGCTAGATCAGGGGGCTAAGCCAGCATCCCTGTGTCCTTCAGAGGTCTTTCCCAGAGGAACTTATCACTATGTCACYCAGAGGAAGTCACTAACCCAAAGCTTCATTTCCTACCAAACACTTCCTATTCAGTCCAGTATGGCCTCCTAGCTGCCTCGCAGAGAATAACCTTGGACAGCCCCTCTCGTGATTTATCAAAAATGAACAATCCTCAAAGAGGCAGTGTGGTACAGTGGGAAGAGCACAGGCATGAGGGTGAGGGAGGCCTGGGTTCATTACATGGCCTCTCAGAACCTTCATTTTCTCACCTAGAAATGCAAGAAAACTGTACTTATTTTGCATTATTATTATGAAGATTGAATGAAATAATGTGGATAAAGAATTACTTAGAATTAGGTTCAGCTCAAGTGACGAAAACCCCAAACTAACAGTGGGTGAAACAAGGCACAACTCTTGCCTGTCCCATGTGCACATTCATGTGGGTGGCCCATGATGTTCTGCTGCTCATCTATGCCAAGTAGGCCACCATAATCCTGGACAAAATGGCACTCTACTTTCCAGATAGCAGAATAGAAGAAGGGATAAAGATAAAGAGTGCAAAATGTGTAAATGTGTGCGAGGAAAACTTCAGAAGCTGCCACATAACATCTTCATTTACATGTCACTGGGAAGAACCCAGCAGCCAGGGAGACTGGGGCTAGAGGCTTTGTTCTAGGTTGTTCATTCCCAATGAGAAAGGATGGAGCACTCCCACCTCAGGACCCAGCAGCAGCAGTGAAAGAATGTCAGAGAAGGAAGGGTCCTGAGGTGGGAGTGCTCTTCTCTAACTTCTGGTGTACATGGAGATAAAGTAGGAGTATTTTATTTGACATACTTTTTAGAAAACAATAATTATCATAAACCATCCCATGCATCAGCAATTGTTCCAACCTGGATTCCACCAGGGAAGCTTAGCATTTCCCCTGGATGCCATCACCAGCAGAGAAGCAGCCAGTAGAGTGGCAAGAGCCAGGACTATAGTCAGACAGATGTGGGT